ATTTAGGCTGCTTCAAAGATTTAGCTATTATGAGTTGTGCTTTTATAAACATAGGTGTGCATTATCACTGTGGTATGAGGCCTTTAGCTCTTTGGCAGATACCTAGAAAAGGAATAGCTGGGTTGAATGGAATTTCTACTTTTAGTTTCTGAAGGAATTTTTATACTAATTTCCACAGTGGTTATACCAGTTTACATTTCCACCAACAATGTAGGCAAATGCCTTTTTTTCCCCACAGCCTTGTCAACATTTCTTATTGTTTGATTTTTTTTTTTTGATGACAGCCATTCTTTCTGGAGTAAAATGGAACTTCAATGTTGTTTGAATTTATATTTCTCTAATAGAGATACTGATCATTTTTCCATGTATTTATTGGCTATTTCTATTTCTTCTTCTAAGAAATGTATACTCATTTCAGATGCCTGTTTTTTGATTAGATATTTTACTTTGAGGGGTCTGATTTTTTTATTTCTTTGTAAATTCTAGATATTAGTCCTTTGTCAGAGGAGTAATTAGCAATTTTTTCCATTCTGTAGGTTGTCTCTTTATTGATTATTTCCTTCATGTACAGAAGCTTTAAGTTTTTTAATTTTATATAACCCATTTGTTGATTTTTCATGCTATTTCTAGTTCAATTGGAGTTCTGTTCAGAAAATCTTTCTTATGCCTCTGTGCCTTTAAGCATTGTACCTAGTTTTTCTTCCAGCTCATTGTTTTTTTTAATATTTATATTTTTAATCCATTTTTATTTTTATTTTGGTACATGGTTATAAATGTGGGTCTGAATTCAATCTTCTTTATGTGCGGCATCAGTTTTGCCAGCATCATTTATTAAAGAGGCTGTCTTTCCACCAGTGTATGATTTTGGGTCCTTTGTCAAAGAAGCCAAACCACAGTGTCCTTGTGGTTGTTTCTTCATTTTGTACTCTGTTCTGTTAATCTGCCTATCTGTCGTTGTACCAGAATCATGCTGTTTTTATTGCTATAGATTTGTAGCATTACTTGAAATCAAGGATTATGATGCCTTCTTCTTTGTTTTTATAGCCCAGAATTACTTTTGGTATTCTGGTTCTCACATTTTTCACTCTTATCCCCTTTTCATTCAATCTCCTGCCCCTTTCACACTTGTACCTCCCAACTCCTGAAGATGTGCCTCTGGCTCGGATCAACAGTGCATTTTTAAGAGGTTCCAGACAAGATACTTTCTCTTTCTATTAGTTGATTCCTCAACACTCCTTACTCCTTGAAATATTACTCTCAATTGAAATTCTTTGTCCATATAGTTCCTCGTTCTTTTCTCAACTTTAAAACTACTGTTTTCCTAGACAATTCCGTAAAACAGCACTCCTGTTAGAACCTAGATCATCAAATCTTTTTTCCTTTTGATATTTCTCCTTGGATGGTTCTGCGAGTCTTAAATTAGTCATGTCCAAAATTGAATTTGTCAATCTTCTCTTTACCCTGAATCTCAGATTTTATCCTTCTTTATTCTTTTTCCTGGTTAAACAAATATTGATAATTAAATATATTAGCAATCACTCAGTTACTCACGACAGAATCATGTCATCCTTAATTCCCCTTTGCCTCCCATCCCATCCCATCCCATCCAGTACTTAGGTTATTAAATGCTTTTCAAATCAGTCCTAGCCTCTTCATTCCTACTGCTACTGCTCAAGGTCAAATTGTATGTATCTCTCTTAGAGGGTTATAATAACCCTTAGATCATGTTCTTATGCTTCCATAAACTACCTTTCATCATGTTTCCTGTCAAAAGAAATGCTGCAAGTCATGTAATTACATTACTATAAAAATATCCATTTGTGTACTATTTCCTATACTATTGAGTAAATACTCCCCCAAAGGCACAACTTTACTATTTTATTATTTTTGAGTAAGCTTCATTTTTGTCATTATATACTTTGTCACTTTTATACTAACCATAGCAATTTTTAACTTACTGCTTTATTCTTGTATGCTTTTTAATGTTTGGAGTACTTTTCTGTAAGGCCAAATGATAATTTCTCTTATATCTAATTTAAATTCTGTTAAGTCTTCTAAGCATATTTGATCACTCCCTTCTTTTGATCATGTTTGAACTATAAAAAACTATGATACAGTAAGTTAGCACATCATATTACATGGTGCTATTTACATATCTTTTTTCACACTTTAAATTCTTTCAGGAGAGCTTCAGTCTGATTCATCACTGAATTTCCCCATTTTTTTAATAAAAAGCTTTGGTGTTAGTCAACTTTTCATCATTGTGCCAAAATACCTGAGGAAAACAACTTAAAAGGGGAAAACATTTATTTGAGCTCAGGGATTGAGTCAGTGGTTATTTGGCTTTATTGTTTTTTAGCCTGTGGCATGGCAGTATTTCAAGATAGGAAACATGTTTTAGAACAAAGCACTTTACTTCTTGGCAGCTGGGAATCCAAGAAAGAGAAAAGAAGGGACCAGGGTCCCAGTACCCCTTTCACAGGCACATCCTCCTCAGACTAACTTCTTCCTACTAGGCCCCAACTTCTAATGGCTCTACCACTTTCCAGTAGGACTGCAGGCTGAGTCAGGCCTTCAGTGTATGTGCCATTTAGAAACATTTAAGGTCTAAGCTACAACAGGCCCAGTTTCTTCAGAACCATTCTGTTAAGTTCAGTAATTCTAAAATGTTGATCTATATCTTCCCAAAGGAAGAGAAGTATTTTTAACTCATAGACCAGTTGTAATCAATATACAATAGCTGCCCAGAAATCTCTGAGATGGATTCTGAAGACATATCCGAACACAGTTGAGGGTAACATGGTCAGTTAGCATGGGCATGGGAGTTTTCTTTCTTGTACTTTCAAGATTTTGTTTCTTAATATAATTAATATGCTAGATAGCGGCTAAGTCTAACATTGTTATAACTACAAAATTATTTTAAATATCAGAACCAGAAGGGAAAACTCTTTGAATATATAGTTGGAATGACTATGGAGATCACTGTATTGTTTTATATGTAAGAAATCTCAGACTCAACATAGATAGAACAATTTCCCTGTAAAAATACAGTTGACCAAAACCCAGGTTTATTGATGTCCAATCCAATATTATATTATAGTTGCCCATTTAACAAAAAGACATATAGACATTATTGTACTAGGATCCTTAAAACTTTGCATGTTAATCATATTTTTTTCCTTAAATTCTTTTATTGGTACATTTTAGGTATACAATACATTTACATTTATCATTGGGAACTTGTACCTTTACATGACGTATCTTGGTTTGTATCATATTTTAGATAAAAAACAACAGAAGTACCTTTGAATATAGAAGTATTAGGTGATTCTACTCTTTATTCAAGCAGAGCCCTAACTGTTCTATCTTTGAGTCTAATGTACATGAATTATGTTAGTCTCTGAAGATTATAGAACCAGTTTCTGTGGTAGAGAACAATCCACAGTTCATTAGATGAAATTGATAGTGCTTAAGACAGGCTCTTACTTTAGTTTTACCAAGAAAAGTTATTTGACCTTGGAATATTAGTCCATTTCTCTTCACTTTAATTTTCTACCTGTATTCATAAAGACAACTTTTAAATGTAAAAAAATCACAGAGACCTCATAGGCTATTTTAAATATTTCATGAACATATATAAAATGCTTAAAGAAACATATTAGCTGTTGATTAGAATTTGAGAGAATATTCTTTATGGGTTTGTTTTGCCTCTGTATGACTTGTGAACAGAGATGACCTCCGCCTCTTTTCTACATGGTCTTTGCAAAAATGTATGGAGTAGTGCAACTTTGAAAATGGAGATAATACTTCTATCTAGAGTAGAATGCAAGTTTGCTTAGTTTCTGTTACAAAAGATTCTTCTAAATTCAGAGTTCATCTCCAGGAGTATAATCCACTGAACCACCTAATGTCGCCTGGTACTTTTTCCATCACCTGTGGGAACTAAGATCAAGGAACCAATTCATATCATTCCATGGTAGGTACTGCTATTCATGGGAGTACTAAATCCCCTGGATCTGACCTCACAGCCTCTGTATCTGACATCAAAGCCTTGTATCCACTCATTCACTAAATGGCGGTACAACAACATTTTAGCATGCAAGGATAGTAATGTCATTGACTCAAATTTTCCGATTATGAAATTTAACAAGAGTGCTGGGAAAAGTCAAAGTTCTCACATACATACTCTGATAATCAAAGTATTAGTTCTTGATTAAATGAGGATGTGTTTAGAGGCTAATTCGTCCATCCTGAATTTTCATTTCTATAGTAGATATTAAGCACTGTAACAAACGTTTTAATAAATGCTATCATTACTTGAAATGTCATCCCCAAACTAAACATTTAACCACTGATCATCAGCCTCAAGTTCTCAGTGAACAATGATGCCTCTCCAGATGCATGGTGGGCATTTCATTCTCTGATATTTTGTTTAATCATCTGAGTCATTAATTAAAATCTTGCCCTACACTTTCATATATTTTCTTTACCTTTTCTTAAATTGACCATAGCCTAAAGAATGGGAAGGAACATCTTTGAAAAAAATATAAATTGTATCTGTTATGCCAAAATATTCCAGGCAGTCAATAAATATTGATGAATATTATGAGAACATTCATTCTAAATGCTGCAAAACTATCAGATGTTTCTCATTGTAAAAAACCCATCAAGATTTTAGAATTGGACAAAAAAACATCCTGATTATGCTTTTCTTAAAGCTGTCACCTCAAAATTATTCTAATAAGACTATGAAGGGCTAGGGATTTAGCTCAGTGGTGCCACTGCCTGCCTCAGAAGTGTAAGGTCCTGAGTTTGATCCCCAGTATCAAATAAAAAAAAAAAAAAGGAAAGACTATGCAAAATGAATACAAACATAATTAACATCCTGATTTAATTACCTTTGAACACTGGCTCATCCTAAGTTAGAATCACAGTAAATGTCACTATTCTATATAATGTAAAGGAAAAGCATCTTAAGTCTAAACTAAATTGTTTCCTAGGCTTACTATGAATGAAATACTGCTTCAAGACTGATGCTGAGACCCTGGGGCAATAAGGACTCTGGAGACGTCTTTGAGGAAACTCCTGAAGCTCGAGTTTTATTACCTTAAAAAATAGACTGACACTTAGCCCTGAGCTATTACCCTGCAGCTGCTCCTTTAGCTATTTTGCAATAATAGCACCTTCACATCTCAAGCCATGAGCTGGAAGCTCTCATCCATGTTGCTTACAAGCATTTCTCACTGGAAGATAAACATAACCTTGGGCCTTGCCTCAAAAGGAGTATATCATGGAATGAAAAAGAGATAATATCCCCAAATATTGTGGCTACTGAAGGATAGTTTTAAGGGTGGAAATCAGAATCACTGTGAAATTTCTAAGTGCGCATCTTCAAAGTTTCCTAGTAAACTTTTCTAAAGTTCAATGACTATTTTAGCAAATCTTTCCTTACCATTCTTTTGAATACAACGTATATTCATAAGGTTGATATACAGAAAAAGTTAGAGGTTGTAAAGAGTTCATGATCTCACTTTATCTATTTCTTATCAATTCTAATTAATACAGTTTTCTCTACTATGTATGTTTCTGTATAGAACTTAGTTATGATGTTACAGCTAGACTGTCTCCTCTTGACAAAATTCAGGATTGTAATTAAAATAAATTATGTCATATATTAGAATAAACACATACCTCATGAGGGAAAGATGTGGCAAAAGTTTTTCAAGAAAAGAAGATTAAAACAACTATTATCTTAATAATAGAGAACACCATTTGACAGTTTTCTGAAAGCATTTCATTATTAATCTGGTGCATTAAGAACCAAAATATGTATTTGAATGTTTATCTTCTAAATTATTTTCTTCATATCAATATTGACAGAAATTTTATTAGAAAATAATCATTGAAATTAAATAGCAAGGGCCAGGGATTTAGCTCAGTGGTTTCACCACCTGCTGCGCAAGCGCAAGGACCCGAGTTCGATCCCTGGTACCAAAAAAATAGAGAAATTAAATAGCAAGTTGGTGTCTTTTATCCACCAAAGCAACCAGAGTGGAGTTGTCGCTTAGGCAGTTGATAGCAGGTGATCATAATTAACACTGAAAGACGTAACAATGTGGAAAAAATGGCAAGATAACAAACATAAGCAGGTGAACTTGACTCAACGAGCAGTGAAAAATCTCTGAGGCAAAAATGGTCTTTTTCCCGATCACTGATTTTCACTCTCCACTGAACCATGTTTCTCAATTTCTTTTCTACTGTGTTTTTCTGGTTTGGGTTAGGTTCCACCACTCATCCTGCATATTCTGCATTGGCCTCAATTACTACAAAATTATGGAGAACTACTGAAAGTTACTCTTTGATTCTGTAAGTTATATGTACAACATACACTTGGACTTTTACTAACCCTGAGGGATCTCCTTAGAGAAGATTTTAGACGTCATGTTGATATGGGAACTAATTTAAAAAGGAAACATGCTATTTTATGTTCTGAAGGTAGCATATTTTAGCATCACATATTAGTAACTGGTTTTTGTTCTTATAAATGTTACCATGTTCATATTGTTCCCATCACTAGTCCTCAAGTACCCCTAAACACTGCTAATCCCTCACTCACACACAAAAGAGTTCATGTATATCTAGAAGCTATTGATAAAAGAAAAACTTTAAGCATTTCTATTTGGTACATAGGCCAAAAATGGAAATGGATAATAAAGGACAAGAGACAGAAGAGAAATTAATCGCTTTAGTAGTAAGTCAACTTTACTACTAAACTATACTATACTAAACTATACTATATTTTCTGTTAGACTAGAAGTATCCTACAGAGAGTAATTTTTTTGTGTACTTTATAACAGAGTACTAAGCGTAGTGCCCAGAATATAGTTGATTCTGGTACTGATCAGTTTTTCTGTTGCTAGACAAAATACATGACACCTGCCACTTAGAAGAGAGGTTTAATTTGGCTTTAAGTTTCCCAGGGTTCAGTCCATGATTAGAACGCTCCTAGGAAGGACTATCATGGTGAAGGATGTGATGTGCCAAAGCTGCTAATAGTATGGCAGCTAGGAAGCAGAACACAAGGGAAGACACCACCAAGAGCCATACTATCCAAAGGCCCAACCCCAGACACCCCCGCAACTGAGCCCACCTCCTCATAGCACATTAAGCTATGAACATCAGTGAATTAGTTCATTGATTAATATAGCTCCATGCCTTCATGATCCATTCACCTTTCCACTGGATTCAAAGTCCACTTGACAATAAAAAATTAACCATCACACTTCTCAATTAATTGTGAATAAAATAATTAATCTGTGCATGTATGATTGCATTAATAAGGAAATAAAAGTCCTTTTCAAATTTTATTAGTAGGAAATGATAAATGGAAAGTCAGCTGAATTAGTAATATTATATTACATGTTATGTCACTTAAATGTTTAATTTAGTGCTGATTTTTTTGTTAGCACAATGAGAAGCACATGCAAATTCACTGATGAAAATACACATGTGCACACATAAAAGTGACACTTGCCTTTGGGTTTAATTGATTTATATATAACAAGTAGTTTTCTTAAATTATCTTGTTTAAAGACAGAATTATTTTCATGTGTTTACAGTTTTTAACTGCATCAAACAAATGAAGTGGTACTTGCTGAATATATAAGAAAGCCACTAAAATTTAGACCTGAGAATGATTGAATTATCTTGTATTTAAGAGGTTTTGATCTTAAACTAAAAATGATAAAAAGTGTCTACTTATGGTGGAGACATTATGTAAAGTCTTTACTCACCAGCTAGCTATATCCTTTGTGTGTGTGTGTGTGTGTGTGTGTGTGTGTGTGTGTGTGTTCTTTTCTGATACTGGGGATTGATCCCAAGGATCTTCACATTAAGCTTGATCTCCAACCCTTTTTATTTATTTATTTTTGTTCTAAGACAAAGTCTCCCTCAATTGCCCATCTTGGGCTTGAGCTTGTATTCTTCTGCCTCACCCTAGCAGAATGTTGGGATAATAGGTGTGGTTTACTACTGCCAGCTTTATATTTTAAATAATCCTATTTATACAATTCATATTTACATCAATGTGCCATAAAAGGAATATGAATAAAATCTTATACCAACCATACAGATAAGAAGACTGACTTGACAGTGGTTCAAGTGAGGGAGAAAATGAGAATTATTTTACCCTTTTCTTAATTTTAAAAAGGCAGTTACTAACAAATTATAACATGCCCTATTGAAGTTAATGTTCAGACACAGTGAAAATTTCATCTGAACCCTTTGTTGATAAGGTTTACATCTGGAATAATTTATACTCAGTTCTGCATTAATAGTAATTCCCAATCAAGAGGACATTTGGTAATGTCTAAGGGATGCTACTGGTGGGTAATTAGTAGAGGCCAGGGCTGCTGTTAAAATGTGTAGAGCAGTTTTCTGCAGCAGAATTATGCAGCCCAAAATGTGACTGAGTGTTGGAGTTACAAAACCAAGAGCAAGTGTCTCCAGAAGGGATTAGCAGTGACAGCTCGGGGCCAAATCCAGTCAACCTCTTATTTTGATAGGAGCTGTGAACTGATAATGATTTTACCAATTTTTAACAGGTGAAAATGTAAAATAATATTTTATTGCACAGTAAAATTATATAAATGTAAATTTCCATTTCTATAAATGAAATTTTTCTTTAAAATAGACACCTAGATAATCTATGGCTACTTTTTGCTCGACAACAAAGATAAGTTCTGACAGCAACTGTATGACCCATGAAGTTTAAAATATTTACTACCTGGCTCTTTATAGAAAAAGTTTGCCAACAACTCTTCACTGTTCTAGCAAAAGAAAAGAAAAAGAAAAAAGATTAAAGTTAACCAAAAACTTTGACATCATGAAATGTTAAGTTGCTTTATTTCATCATTATTTTACTCTTCAAGTAAATATGAAATATACTTTCATTTTGACTTTGTAAGTCCTCATGGACTTGCAACTTTTCCTGTCTCAAATCCACATTCTTGTTAGGAAAATATCCATAGCTTTCATGCCTGATAGTGAGGAAGTTGCAATGGTTTATAGAAAGTGTTTTTCTGGCTATATGGGAATAAACATAAAAAGATTGTAGCAAATCCCATTGTCTAACAATAGACATCAATGTATTTTCCACTTTTAGTGGCCCTTTGCCTTCTCCCTCTACAACAAATAAAAGTCATTTACCTAAATCCTGTTCTACATTTCCATTGTCTTTTGTTCTACTACGTAAATGTGAGCCAAAGCTCTAAAAACATAAACAGGATACATCTTTATTTATAAACCAGAAATCCAGAACTCTTCTAAATGAGCAAATGCATAGAGAATATTGGATTTATGGAAAAAATGCTTATAAAGGATACCTTCAATTTCTTACAAATAGATACAGTAAAATCACATTTATTCCATGACTCTATCATATAAAGAGTGACATGTATGCTTGTTGGATAAACTTCAAATTGAAGAAACATATTTGTTTATGGCACATTTTACATGCTATTTCCTATTAGGGGTTGATTCATCCTCGATTAGCTACCTCCCTTTGTACAGCAGTTCTTTTAACTAACACAGATTGAATAATATGTACTTTGGCCAACTCCTGGAATAGACTCTGGAGAGACAAAGAAAATAAGCAATGTTTCTATCCTTTGAGAACATGTATTTTGTTAATATGTCATTCATGCATTGGCATTGTTTCTATTGATTTAGGCCGTATTTAAAGCTTTCTGGTCATATTCAAAAGATACTATGTATGGATACAAACATGCAAATTTAAGAATTTTTTAAAAATCAGCATTTTAATTATTTTTAATAAAATTGATCAAATAAGTTTATTTAGTTATTTCAAGTATATGCATTATATTTCATACTATTTATTTCCTGGGATAGTGTGGCCTGTGAGATTTTAGATTTCCTGACTTAGAGCCCATGAGTTTTTCTTAAAGATAAAACTTACCTTTAAGAAAACAAAAATGATTCTTCCTTATATTTCCTTCTATTATTATAATTTATTATTATTATTATTATTATTATTATTATTTTGTTTTGGTTTTTTGGTGGTTTTACTAGGGATCGAATACAAGGCCTTCACACTAGCTATAACCCCAGACCTATTTTTATGTTTGAGACAGAGTCATGCTAATTCACTAAATTGCCCAGGCTGGACTTCAAATTGTACTTCTCCTGCATCAGCCTCCCGAGGGCTGGGATTACAGGCATGTGTACTACCATGCCTAGCTTATTTCCTATCTTTAATGAGTTTAAATTAAGAAAGCAACTAGCAGTTTTGATGGCCTGAAGCTCTATACATTATAAATTTAGTGATTTAACATACTTTGAATAAACTCTGGGATGGTTAAAAGCAAAAACATTTATTTTAATATATTCATAGATCGTTTGGGAGAGTAGAAGGAATAGATACTTTATCTGAATTCTTAGCTTTTGTGTTTAACTAAATTATTAAACATATACTTTA